AATTCTAGAATAACAAGTAATTCAGATCCCTTTGTCAAAACAGCCGGGAATATCTGAATAAGACGAACTACCCTGCCTGCCGGTTATGTCTTTCTAAAACTTCTCCTTCTGTACTACACAAGTGTTTTTGACGTAAACCTTTGTAGTTCCTCGAAGTTTTAAACAGAACTGAAGACTTGAAGTTTTACACTACAACTATACAATTGCTGTGCAATACAATTAGCTTTAAGAAACATAAAATGCAAATATTTTCTAACATGAACACTTAGACACACAAGCCAAAACATTTACAATGTCACCCTGCATGTATGCACCGCTGCTTCTAACCCAAACTTAGAAGATGAGAACTGAAGAAGCACAAGATGAAAACACAATTTCTAAGTTCTACTGCATCAACAAGTCCCATTTTATTTTTGCTAGGCAAAAACACTAAACCCAGTGCCTCGGATAAATTCTGAAATACAGAGAAATTCTTCCCAAGTAAGAAGGTTCCTGGAAAGGCACAGTATGGTAATAGAGAGGTAAAGTAATCATGTGGAAAACCAGAGTTCTCAGGATAAAAATTGCAAACTTCAGTCTGACTGGATAGAACACAAAAAAAAAAAAAAAAACCACACAAACACCACACACCACCAAAAAGAAACTCCACACAGGGGAAATATTGTCCCTCAGTCTTCTCAAGAAAGAAAAAAAAAAAGCACCCTCACTTGAAGTCTACATGATTTTGAACATGAGTCAGGTTAAGCATAGTTAAACATGTGCATGGAACCTGAGTGATGCTTGGCCATGCTATTTCTCTCCTTATCAAGTGGACAATTGTGATCTAACTATTTTCAACCACTTGTAATGATTTCTACAAATTCTCAATGACAGCTGAAATGACTAGCTTATTGCTCACGCATTCACATAAGCGGTGAAATCTATTTTCTAACAGTGAACAAACTTTGTACGTATCGACCATCTATATCTTGTTTGCATTCAAAACCTGAGGAAACCCACATTTCTCATATGTATTTATGGTTTAACACCACCACTGTCCTCATGGCTGACACATTCACAGTTTAT